AAATACAGCTGCGCATCACAGAAATAAATTACAGTTTAACAGAGATTCACATAGAAAACAGCTGTTTTAGATTATAATAATATTTCACTATTTTTATCACACACCTCACACACCTCTGTCCACTCAGTTTGTTGAAGGTACACGCTAGCGCCACCACCTGTCCAGTGATCACAGGAATTGAAATGTAACGCTGCGCTCTTCGTGTACCTTCGCTAAATCCGAAACGAGTGTTTTCGTTTGTTCTTGCACTGAAGTGTGTGTGTGTGTGTGTGTGTGTGTGTGTGTGTGTGTGTGTGTGTGAGAACTGACCTGGCTGACGTCCTGTAGTGTAATGGATTTCTTTGTCTCCACCACCTGCCCAAAGCGACCGAACATAAGCTGTATAGAGAGAGAAGGTTATTTGCTGCTGAGAAACAATATTTCACACACGTTTACACTGATGCATTTGACAGATGCTTTTTTCCAAAGTGACTTGCACTGCATTCATGGCATACGTTTAGTTTAATTCAGATCTGTGAGCTTGGAGATGCTGTTTGAGTTACAGAAACACACACAAATAACAACAGAGAAGAAAAACTTACCGGAAAACTGATTTCCTCTTCCAAAACTTTATCTCCGACAACCTGCAGAGAAAATACACTGTATGAGTGTGTGTGTGTGTGCACGTCAAAATGTTTGTTATTTTGTCACATAGTGAATCAGCAGTGATTTTTGCATGCCATTTTACCTGTGCATTTGGAAAACAGCTGTTTTAAATTGTAATAATATTTCACAATTTTTACTGTATTTGTCATCAAATAAATGCAGCCTCAGTGAGCAGAAAAGACTCTTTCAGAAAGAATATAAATATATTTGAGTGTGTCACCTGACAGAAGAGTTGGTGATTGTCTTCAGAGACCAGCAGTAAACAGCAGCACTGCGACTGAGTTTCTGTCTGCAACTGAAAGAGAAACACACACATCAATGCTTATAATAAGTAGAAAAATATATATTGACTATAAAAATAAAATGTTCTATGATTTTTAAAGATTTTATTCATTTTCATGACATTTCTAGGCATTATTATTTTAAACCATTTTCAATATTCCTTAAAAAAATGATGGGATATTGTATTAAATTCTTCCCTCTGCTTTAATGCATTGGATTTTCTGTTCATCCGGATGTTGTGGATCACAGAACGACTAAACAGCACACTGACAGAAACCACAGTAAAGTGCTGGAAGATCTGACAGCGAGATATTAAATCAGACACAAACACTGAACGAGCGAAAGAGAAACGCAGAAACGCTGCTTGGCCTCTTTACCTTCTGGAGTGATTTATTCGGAGAGGCGACAGACAACATTCATTTTTCAAACCAGCCATTCGTAAAATGTTTTCTCTTAATTCAGACTGAACGGCGTAATGAAATCATATCATTTCAGGGATTATTGCATTCTGGAGATGAAATTGTGTTCGGTCATAACGCAGAAAGGGGTTACGACTCAAACGTCTGTGTGTAAGGCAGGTATATGTCATGAATGTCATTTATGCATGACACAACAACAACATAAAAAAAATGTAATCAAATAAAAGGAAAAAAAACGGGCCGTTTAATAAAAATAAAATAAAATACAAAAACAGACAGTTTAATAAAAAATAAAGTAAAATACAAAACAGGCCATTTAATAAAATAAAATAAAATAACTGCTTCAATAAACTAGCGAGTTCTGTTCAGTTCAATAAGACTGTTATTAATAAAAATACAAAAACAGGCATTTGATGAAATAAAATCAACAAACATAAAAAGGCGGTTTAATAAAATAATAAAATAAAATGAAACAGAAAAAATAAAATAAAAGTTTGATACAGCTGTTTTTCCATCGTGTGATATTTATTAGGAGGTCAATATTTAAATATCACAAAGTCAATTAAAAAAATATATTGTTTTTGCTTCCTGAAGGTGTTTTAGATAAATATAAAAACACATATAAAGTGCAATAATGGCCACAAATAATACATGTATAAATAACACATCATGGCATAAAAATTTAGCACACTGTCTTGTCTAGATTATATATTTAACAATATTGATAAAGATTATTCTTGATATATTGATCAAACAAACTGATTTGATGATGCATTTGCATTTTAAAACAGTTGTTTTGAATGTATTTGATAATGTGATTCACAGACGGGTTAGAAACGTTGAAAACAAAGACAAAAACAGGGATGGTGCTCGCTGTTACGGAAAGGAAAGTGTGTGTGTGTGTGTGTGTGTGTGTGTCCTCACAGGAAACTTTGTGCATTTTTAGATTTTCAAAAAACTTAATTCTGAATGATTTATAAGCCTTTTAAATTACGGGGACACTCAAAATGTCCTCATAAATCACCTTCTCGTATATGTCATAGCCATGTCATTATACAAATTTGTGTCCTCGTAAACCACATAAACATGCACTCACACTCACACACACACACACACACTCACACACACACTCACACTCACACACACACACACGCACTCACACACACACACACACAGTCACACACATACATACACACACACTTTCATTTCCGTAACAGCGAGCAGCAATAAACATTATGACCTGTAAGTGAACATAAATCAGCTCCAAACGACACGACAAGCTCATCTGCTGATCTGACTGCATTTGGATTTGTACCTTCTTGTGATTGTCCATTGACTTCTGTTGTTTTTATACCAAGATAATGATAGTTTGTCCCCTAAATGTCACAGAAAGCACAATTACAGCTAACAAAATTTTTTGCTAAAATTGCCATTACATTATGAAAATGTTATTTCTGAATGTTCTCCGAAACATTTTAAACGTGCAGTTTTTAAACGGTTTAAAATGTTTTTCTTGGTAAGGGTTAGGTTAAGGAACATTAAAAAAACATTACATTTTAACATTTTGCAGACAGTATGGGAACGTTAACTTGGAACATCAAACAAAACTATTTCAGAAAAACAAAAACAAATGCTTAATCACTGGGTGAAAGCGTTGTTCCAGCACAACTGATCTGTTTTCCTCATTTACTGGAGTAAGAGTCTTGTGTGTTCATGTATAAGGAAGTTAAATAAAACGTTATTTATGCATGACACAACAAAAAGATAAATAAAATAAAATAAAATAAACAAAAAATGTATAAAATAAAATAAAACAAAAAACAGGCAGTTTAAAATAAAATAAAACATGTTCTAAGAATACTTTGCTAACATTCCCATTAAGTTATGAAAGCATTATGTTCATTATGTTCAGTTCTGAATGATACATTTTTAAAATGTAAAAAAAAAAAAAATCCTGGTAATGTGAACATCAAGGGAACATTCCATTGTATTTTGCAAACAATGTGGGAATGTTACTTATGTTCTCTGAACGTTCTGAAACAAGTAGCAACATTTAAGAAATGTTAGACAAACAAGTTTCACAAAAAAATGTTCCATAAACATTCCACATTTTTTATATAAATAACGTTTTTGTGCTAAGAACATTATTAAAGACCAGATAACTTTGAATGAATGTTCCATTAATGTTACTGGAAGAACGTTTGTAACAGGGAGCACAGCTGTGCTGTCTATGTAGGCAGCTCACTAGGTTTGGAAACAGAGCCGTCACCTGCAAAACAATTAATTCTGTTCCCTCTCAACACAAAGTCTAACAACACTGAATAGAAGTGTGTGTGTGTGTTTGACTTGTGACTGAGGTTAACTGTTTCTTGGCCTAGTTGTAACTGAATGAGAGTCCAGAGGGACTGTCGATCAGTGACCTTCACGAGGAGCTGCAGGCGTCTCAATAACACTCTTATCACAATCTCAGCCCACCTTTCTCATTCATAAGGATATAAAACAGCTTCGTAAATAGGAAGATTTCAATACATGAGGATTCTGAATGGGATTTATTAGTGAGCCATTAAATGACTCGAGACTCGACTCGGACTTCAAGTTAAGGACTTGTGAACATCTCTGGTCTGATTACATAACCTAAAATCTGTAATGTAATGGATTACGTTACTAACTACAATTTTTGTCATGTAATTTGGAATCGGTAACGGATTATAATTTTTAAGTAATCTAGCCAGCTCTGGTTATGAGTCTGTACTTACATAACTGATGACTTTGAGCTGCAGGGAGGCGGCGTCCAGATCATACAGCTCACCTGTCAATCACACACTTACACTGAGGGAGTTTTTACATTACATTATGTCACACAGACAACCCAGGCTCATTCGAAATACATGCCTCTAAATGCATTTCTGCAGCACCGTTATTACGTTCCTTACTGCACCTTTCGCCGCAGTTTCAAAGTGAAACGTCCAGTGAGTGGCGTTAAAACGCGGTTCAATACGTGACCCTGGCACGTTTTTGTTACGTTGCTTCAGGTACGTATTGCGGCGGTTCGTAATTCAAATATCTGAGGAGTGTCGCTAAAAATTCATGCTTTATCGTGTTGGAAATATCCCCTATACCAAACATTTACATTTAGTCATTTAGCAGACGCTTTTATCCAAAGCGACTTACAAATGAGAACAATAGAAGCAATCAAAACTAACAAAAGAGCAATAAAATGAAAGTGTTATGAAGTCTCAGTCTCAGTTAGCTTAACGCAGTACACGAAGCAAGATTTTTTTATACACACACACCCACATTCACACACACACACACACACACACCCACACTCACTCACTCACTCACTCACTCACACACACACACACACACACACACACACACACACACACACACACACACACACGTACAAAGAAAACAAGTAGAAAGAATAGAAAAGGCTAGTGTTAGAGTTTTTTTTAAGAAAAACAAGCAGTTAGAAACCGAATAGAGAGTGCAAGTGATAGAGGGTTAAGTGTTTTGTTTTTTAAATAAAAAAATAAAATAAAATAAACCCAACCCTAAACCTACCCGATAGTGTTAACAAATACAAAAGTGGTCTAAAACACATTTGTTGATGCAGCTGTGCTATTTTAACTTCCTTACGCAGATTTGAGCTGTTTTCTCTGACTACTTTGAAGTCTCTCCTAAAAACATATCTGTTTTCTCTGGCTTATAAATAATTTTCTATTATGGTCTTTGCCTAGTATTTTGTCTTCTAAGTGTTTGTACTCTGTTTCCCTTGTTTTATAAAGTTTTAGTCATTATATCATTGGGGCTAGACCCTGTCTGAATTGTGTTTAGTTTGTGCTGATTTCTATATTGTATTTTATTATTTTCTGAATCTCTGTACAGCACTTTGGTCAGTCGTGTGGCTGTTTTTATATGTACTATATAAATAAATTTAACTTGAACTTTGTCAAACCGTAGTTTCTCAAGTAATTATGTGAAAATTAGGCTTTATTAATCTAAACTGTGAACCTGCAAATCATATTTTGTGTGAAAGGGAGTAAAAGTTGTGGGAGTTTTATTGCCTCTAGTGTTCATTTCAACTGGAAACTGCAGCGATTCGTGTGTATAGGTACATTTTTTGAGTTTCGCAGAAATGTAGGTAGAGGCACGTAAGTGTGAGTGAGTGTGTGTGTGTGTGTGTGTGTGTGTGTGTGTGTGTGTTGTGTGTTGTGTGTTTCTCACCACACAGCCGTAGGATCTTGCGGTCGAGCTCTCTGTAGTCCTCCGCCTGTGCTCTGGCTTTGGGCTCCGCTGGTGCATTGTGGGATTGAGCGTGTGGCCGTTTGGAGCATCTCTGAATGTCTCTGACTCGCTTACAGGCCACGGTGAGCTGACGACACACACACACACACACAATATAAACAGTGTCACATTCTGATATACACATGTAGTAATGTTTATCTAGAAAGTGTAAATCTATGTAAAATCACAGCCGTGCTGATATAGTGCGATGGCTAACGAGTGTGATATTGCGTTTATACAACAATTTGATGGCACAAACGTGTAAATGAATAAGAAACAACCATTGAGTGTCTTAAAAACCATTCTGTGTGCAGAACTACTTTCTTCCGCCACAAATCCAAATCTCTAGCTACATGTAATGGAATTACATAATTTAAATACAAAATAAATAGAAAAAATCTGTAATTAAATGACAGTTTCTTGTGAAAATGTTAACGATTACAAAGGGGCTTACATCAGTTTTTTCACACACCCACACACAGATTGATTAATTGATTTCTTTCATAAATTGCAGTGACTGCTCTAAAACATGAGACACCAATGTTTCAGGAGTTTAGGACTTTAGAGTTATTCGATAACTGTTTTATTTCCTATTGGGTTTATGTATATTTATTATTTAAGATTATCTATTTTTTCCAAGGCATTGTTAGATGCCAGTGTTTCCTGTCATAGCTATGCAAATATTTGATTTCAAAACAGTATCATAGCTACTAGACTATTTCTTGTTATGGTTTTAAATCTGTATTGAAATCTCAAAGTAATATTTTGTGGTGGCTGTGCTTAAATGATAATAATTCAAGTGATGGAGGATTCTGAAAATCTTACAGAATTCAGTGTTGAGTGCTACTGTAGGTGAACCCTGCTTGGTTTACATTTTTGATATAATAATAATACAACAGAAAAAAAGGTTAGAGTAGGTGTCGTCAGCTGAAAAGAAAGTGTGTGTGTGTGTGTGTTCGTGTGTGTGTGTGTGAGACTGTGTGTGTGTGTGTGTTCGTGTGTGTGTGTGTGAGACTGTGTGTGTGTGTGTGTTCGTGTGTGTGTGTGTGAGACTGTGTGTGTGTGTGTGTTCGTGTGTGTGTGTGTGAGACTGTGTGTGTGTGTGTGTTCGTGTGTGTGTGTGTGAGACTGTGTGTGTGTGTGTGTTCGTGTGTGTGTGTGTGAGACTGTGTGTGTGTGTGTGTTCGTGTGTGTGTGTGTGAGACTGTGTGTGTGTGTGTGTTCGTGTGTGTGTGTGTGAGACTGTGTGTGTGTGTGTGTTCGTGTGTGTGTGTGTGAGACTGTGTGTGTGTGTGTGTTCGTGTGTGTGTGTGTGAGACTGTGTGTGTGTGTGTGTTCGTGTGTGTGTGTGTGAGACTGTGTGTGTGTGTGTGTTCGTGTGTGTGTGTGTGAGACTGTGTGTGTGTGTGTGTTCGTGTGTGTGTGTGTGAGACTGTGTGTGTGTGTGTGTTCGTGTGTGTGTGTGTGAGACTGTGTGTGTGTGTGTGTGTGTGTGTGTGTGTGTGAGTGTTTGTATATGTGAGTGTGTGTGTGTGTGTGTGTGTGTGTGTCTATCTATCTATTCTAGCAACATGCTAATAATGCCAGAAACATACTCACAACATGCTAATAACATGTTAATCATGCTAGCAACATGCTAGTAACTTCCTAATCATGCTAGAAACATGCTAGTCACCTGTCAATCATGCTAACAACATGTTAGTAGCATGGTAATCATGATAGCAACATGCTAGCTACTTGCAAATCATGATAGCAACATGCTAGTAGCATGCTAATCATGCTAGAAACATGCTAATGACATGCTAGTAACTTGCTAATCATGCTAGCAGCATGCTAGTCACTTGCTAATCATGCTAGCAACATGCTAGTAGCATGATAATCATGCTAGCGACATGCTAGTCACTTGCTAGTCATGCTAGCAACATGCTAATCATATGCTAATCTTGATAGCAACATGCTAGTAACATGCTAATAATGCTAAAAAACATGCTAGCGACATGCTTGTAATTTGCTAATCATGCCAGCAATATGCCAGTAACAGGCAAATTATGCTAAAAACATGCTAATCTATCTACATTTTCAAACTTCAAGCTTTTACAACTGCTTTAAACTTTCAATCTAGGCTTTCTCAAGCCAACCTAAAGTTTGTCTTGACGAACTTTTTTATCTAGTTGAGAATTATACTACATTAAGAAGGACTTTTTAAGGCTTTGAATTGAAATAATATGTTCTTATGGATCTGTTCACACTGGGGATGAAGATCTGTTTGTGTTACATTTATTTATTTATTTACTTTAGCCTTGGTTTCATTTCTGCTCTGCTTTGATTTTCTGGTTTGTTCTTCAGGTGAATAGCCTTAAACTGGGTTATTATGGTACAAAAAAAACAAGAAATTGAAGAAAAGCTTCTGACAGTTTGAAGAAGATGTCATATTAATTCATTATTGTACTGTAGTAACAATAACTGTGGTACTATGGTAAATGTCTATAAGGTAGAGAGAGTAAATCTTATTCTTTGGGAAAAAAGAAATAATATATATATAAAACAAAATAAATAAAAAGAATAAAAAATAAAAATGATAATTTTTCTGTCATCATAATAACTAGTTCTACTAGTTCTCGGCAAGCGAGCTAATCGTATTCTTTGGGGGGAAAAAATAAAAATAAATAAAATAATGAATAAAACAAATGACTGTTTCACAGTAGTAATAATAACAGATACAACAGTTAAATAAATAAATAATAAAAAGTGAATACCATAAAATAAAAAAATGTAAATATTTTACAGCACTAGCAATAACTGGTACTATGGTCATTTTTGTATGACAAAGAGAGATGATCTTATTCTTCGGAAAAATAAACCAAAATATAATAACAAAAACTAAATAAAAAAATGGGGAAAAAACAACAACCAATAAATGTGGTACTGCAGTAAATTTACATAAGGGAAATAGCTAATCATATTTTATTTTATTGGAGAAAAATAAATGAATAAATATAAAATAAGAAAAATAAGAAAGAAAGAGTGAGCTAATCTTATTCTTTGGGGAACAATAAATAAAAAATAAAAACAAAATAAATAAATAAATAACGATAATTTTAAATTAGTAACAATAACTGTGGTACTATGGTATATTTCTGTAAGGTAAAGAGAGCAAATCTTATTCTCAAAAAAAAACAAAAAACAAATAAAAACCAAGATGCCCTTAAGTTTTCCGTGTCTTGTCAGTGGTTTACAGCAGAGCTGTTGAGAGAGCGACAGACACCACGAGTCAAAGAAATCACACAATTCATTACATCCTTCAGCAAACCACCTGCTCTATTTCTGCCAGTTCTCTCTCCCTCGCTCTCTGGGGAAATGCTTCATTTACTTTAGGGGTCACATTGAGACCTTTGACCCTGCGTCCGTCTGCAAGAGTCCCAGAGAGACACTCGACACACACCTTTCCCGCGAGACACGCTACTGATCTAATAGAGCGGATACTAAAACACTGACATGAAGTCAAACAGCAGCTCTGATCCACATACTAGAGAGCGTTTGCTGTCTTTAATGCAGGAAATTAATACTTTCATTCATCAGTGATGCACTAAATTGATCAAACGTGACAGTAAAGACATTTATAATGTTACAGTAGATTTCTATTTCAAATAAATGCTGTTCTTTTGAACTTTCTATTCATCTGTGAGTCCTGAAAAATAAAATGTGTCAGTTTCCACAGAAATATTGTGCAGCACAACAGTTTTCAACATTGATAATAATCAGAAATGTTTCTTGAGCAGCAAATCAGCATATTAGAATGATTTCTGAAGATCATGTGACACCGTTTTTACAGTATTTTGATCAAATAAATGCAGCCTTTGTGAGCAGAAGAGCATACTGACCCCAAACTTTTAAGGGAATTAAACCTTGCAAGTGACTGGTTTTAAACTAGACATGTGGAAAATTATGCATTTTATAAATGACTATGATATATAAATATTTCACCAAATAAATATTATACATTTTTTATTAATTCAACATACAAGAGTTTGACAAAAATGTCTTGAAATTTATGATTGAATGCATGGTTATTATTATTAACTAAAACCATTTTCGTTACTTAAAATAAAAAAAATTATATAATAATAATAATAATAATTCAACACATAAATATTTGGAGTTTGGCAAAAATTGTCTTGAAATTTATGATTGAATGCATGGTTATTATTATTAACTACAAAAATAAATAAATAAAAACTCAACTTATTCAGCTTGTTTGCAAGCAAACATTTCTTATTTTTGTTTAGTGTGAATTGAAGTACTAAAATAACTCAAACTAAAAATAAAATAAAATTAATAAATACTATATAGACATAATTAAAAAAAACAAAACCTAATAAAAATGACAAAAAAAATAATTGACTAAAAAAATACAAATAAAGTTCAAGTGAAAACAGAAAACATAAAGATAAAATGTAATTAAAAATATTAACAAAATCTATAACTTGTAAAAATAACGCCGCTTGAAGGTGGAGAATTCGATGCAACAGCTCTTCTTTGATGTTGACGGTGCTTTAAACATGATGCATGTAGAGATTTGATCATGCTGTCCAGCAGAAACAGAAACTGCGTCTCTAAATTCATCCTCTTGAAGATCAAGAGGATCTTGAAATAGGATCTCGTTACTTAAAATAAAATAAATAAATAAAAATTCTACTTATCCGGCTTGTTGGCAAGCCAACATTTCTTATTTTTGTTTAGTGTAAATTGAAGTACTTAAATTACTAAAAAATAAAAATAAATAAATAATATAGACATTATTCAAAATATAAAAAACTAATAAAAATGACAAAAAAAAGTATATGTGTGTGTACTCTGTATATTTATTATGTATATATAAAGACAAACATATAGTATATATTTTGAAAATATTCACATGTATATATTTATATTCATATAATTGTATAAATAAGACTCTCTAGAAGCTCTAAACACGTCCTTGATGCGATCCGCTCCGTCACAATCGTTTCTTTTATGACGCGTCACGGCTGCAGCAATAAAGCGTCTCCCCTGCACTCAAAAATCTCATAAAACCATAAAGTTTTATTACTCAATTAGAAATAAACACTTTAATTGGACTAATGCCGCCTGTAAAAGCACAACATTAGGCAGCTCGTTAAAAATAACGAGCTATAACGAATTTCGGATGACTCAAAGAGACGAATCACACGACATTCACTGATTCAATGGTTCAGAGGTGAGAGAGAGAGAGAGAGAGAGAGATCACAGGCATCACTACAGCACTATTGTGTGTGAAATTACAGCAGAACTCACCAGAATCAGAGAGATCACCTTCCCTTCATCACCGTCCAGCAGAGGAATGATGAGCGCTGAGACAAAAAGAGATGAATCACTGCAACTTAAAGCAACTTTACTCATTCTCAGGCCATCTAAGATGTAGGTGAATCTAACAGGAATAACAGTTGTTTTCAGCTGCTTACACACATTTTGAAAACTTTGCCTCTTGTTTTCAAATCTTTACACACAAATCCAAGAATTGCACACACTAAATGCAAAATGCCTCACATCTCTTGCAAAATGAAGCACTGCATTCAAAATATCACAAACACATCTGTAATATCACAAAATATCACAAACACAAAAACTGTGAGCTGGAAACTTCATATAATGCAAGTCGATGGCTACCGTCACTTTGAGAGTCAAAAAAGCACATACAGGCAACACAACATTAAAACCTGTGGCTGCTGCTGATACATCGAAGCGATCGGTCTGTGCACGAAACTGAACATTATTTACAACACTGTAATCCAGAGCCTCAGGCAAACGGGGGAAATCTGATTCTTCTCTGCGAACTGATTCTTTCGGACAGTTCTTTTCAATTAACTGGTTCAGGGACGTCATACGCAATTCTATTATTAAAGCACCCAAAAATTGCAGATGTTTTACATGTCTAAAGTGTGTAAAGTGAATAAACTCGTCTTCATCAGCATCATTCAGTCTGATTTGATGAACTGATTCAACTGGTTCACTGAAAAGAACTGATTCAAAAGAATGATTCATTCACAAACTGAACCGTTTGCCTGAGGCTCTGGATTACAGTGTTGTAAATAATGTTCAGTTTCTTGCACAGACCGATCATTTCGCTTTATAATCTCAATATACAGTATCATGATCTCAGTATATATATATATATATATATATATATATATATATATAACTCTATATATCGCGGAGTGAGG